ACCACATCACAGAATGCTATCAGATTAGTCAAGCATGATTTCCCCATGTATGTCACGTGCATGACACGCACGTGAAATCCAGTATTCTCTGAAAACAGTTGCAAGTCACAATCACTCCTGTGTGAAAGTCTCATTGTTCTGGAGGAATATAAAAGCTCAGACTTCTTCATGTTCTTCAGTGTTGAACCTAACTCGGGTGGTGTGGTTTAAATTACAGTAGCAAGGAAAGCTGATGCAGCTTGGCAGAACCCACATACCTAGAGATCAATTGTTTTATAACAACTTTTCCCAATTTTTCTGTATCACCATGTGCCCTTAAAAATCAAACAGCTTTGCCATTAATACAATACACAAATGTATCCCGAGAGACTTAGACTGCAAAGGAGAAAAGCCTCTGTAAGGCTCACTTTTGGGGCCAATCTTTTTTAACGTCTTCATCAATTATCTGAATGAAGGGATCAAGTGCACTCTCAGGAGGTCTGCAGACGACAACAATTGAGTGGGAGCGTTGATCTGCTCAAGGATTGGGAGGCTCTGCAGAGGGATCTGGACAGGTTGGATTGATGGGCCAAGGTCAACTGCATGAGGTTTAACAAGGCGAAGTGCCGGGTCCTTTGAACTTTGCCTGAACCCCAGGCAACACTACTGGCATGGGTAGGAAAAGCTGGAAAGCTGCCTGGTGAAAAAGGACCTGTGGTTGCTGGTGGACAGCCAGCTGAACATGACCCAGCAGTGTGCCCAGGTGGCCAAGAAGGCCACCAGCATCCTGGCCTGTGTCCAGCAGGAGTAGGGAAGTGATTGAGCCCCTGTACTTGGCACTGGTGAGGCCACAGCTTGAGTACTGTGTTCAGTTTTGGGTACTTCAGTAGAAGAAAGACACTGAGGTGCTGGAGCAGGTCCAGAGAAGGGCAATGAAGCTGGTGAAGGGTTTAGGTAACATGTCTTATGAGGAGCAGCTAAGGGAAGTGGAGCTGTTTAGCCTGGAAAAGAGGAGGCTGAGGGGAGACCTTATCACCCTCTACAATTACCTGAAGGGAGGCTGGAGTGACATGGGTGTTGCTATCTTCTCCCAACTAACTAGCAATAAGATAAGAGGAAATGGGGTTAAGTTATGCCAGAGGAGGTCTAGATTGGATATTAAGAAAAATTTCTTTACTGCAAGGGTGGTGAAGCACTGGAACAAGCTGCCCAGGGAAGTGGTAGAGTCACCATCCCTGGGGTTGTTCAAAAAATGTGTGGATGTGGTACTTCAGGACATGGTTTAGTGGTCGTGGTAGTGTTGGGTCGATGGTTGGACTTGATGATCTTGGAGGCCTTCTCCAATCTTAATGGTTCCATTACTCTACGAAAAGTACAGAAAATTTATAGCTGACAATGCCTCAGAAAGAGATGAGACTACTCCATTTCTAACCATTAAGTGCACAGTGATAAAATAAAATAAAAAAACAAACAAACAAAAAACCAAAACCAAACAAAAAAAACCCAAAACAAACAAATAAAAAAAAACCAAAACAACTCCAAAAAAAAAAAACCCAAAAAAATACAAACCCCAAACCTGCTCAAGTATGTATATAATGAAATATAAATAATCCTTCCAAAGTCTAAAGTCTGGGGAAGTCCAAACTTCAGTGGTTTGTCTTTATTAAAATGTACCATACATTGCATTTCATAAATATCAGTATTTCATCCTTTCCAAGAAAGCTGTCTTCTGGTTCATTCTATATACTTTCTCAAAAAATATTTACGTTTTATTTAGTTTGAATTGTTTTCTTGGAAAATACTATTTACCTCCAGATGATTGCACACTCATCCCCAGGCTTATTGCTGAGGATGTTAGCCTACTATTGCTAGCAGCTCATCTACTCCTTGAAAGGTGGCAGATACTTTAACTAAGACCACACAATACCTGGGGACTTCCTCAGTCATAACTTAGCTGCCATATGGAATTAGGGTGGCAAACTCTGAAGTGGGTCACCGTGCCAGCTTGGCCAGCCAGTGCAAAGGAGCAGGCTGCCAGCTTGACTGCAGGGACACCAAATGGGGTGGACTTTGCAGGGCACAGGCTATCTCCTGGGCTGGAATCCAGAGAGAAAGAAGCTCCTTCTGCTTCTTCCACCATTCCAGCATCAGACTCTAGTTCTGCCTGTTGATCCTCATACACAGGAATGTGGATAGCGGAAGGAGAGGAGCATGGCAAGGCCTCTCTGTACTTTAAGCTGCATAGATGTAGAAATTCCAATTAAATTAGTTTATTTGTTTATTTACTCTTTAGTCCTCCCAGACCTTACTGAGAGCTTTTAAAGGAGTAAAACCTCTACTGAACAAAAGACTAAAATACATATCATTAAGAGCATGAGATTAAATCTATCTTTATATGAACAGCATATAATTTTCAATTTCATAGTACAGATCAGTCTGTGAGAACACTTCCTGAGGAATAAGATGCTTTATTGAACAAGAATTAATTTAAGGATGGTGCTTAAGGGCTGTCTTTCACTAGAACTCAGGAGAAACAACAGCCAGTGTTTCTGTTTTCCCAATATTTTGTGTTATAACCTCTTGGACAGGTGCATTTACTGCACATTCATTGTCAGAGACAGTAATCGTTCTTAGGTCCTAAAAGTTTTACATGTAGATATTACAGCTTAATATAACCAAACCCTTATTACCTGGTCTGGCACGGCTGCTCGTTGCACTTGCGGATCTGTGGTTCAGGTTTTGTTAAATATTTGCACTTCCTGTTGTCCACAAGACTGATATTCTTGTTCATAATCTTTGTGCAAGAGACTGTTGTCTTTCTTTCACCTAGTAAAAAATAAAGCAAGTATGTGGGGAAATGAGGAATGTGCAACTTTGTTATAAAAGAAGGACAATGGTGCATGTATGATTTGCCTGAAAGAATTGTGAACCCTGTACAAAAAAAACCAAAGCTAGCAGGGAGGCTAAGAGACGCACTAAGGTTTGTATGGAACATTGTGATTTTCTAATCCGCTCTTTGCACAGCACTGTCAAAAGAGTTTTGCTGCTTTATTCTTGAAACTAGCCATAGGCCAAACCCTTAGTCTTACTGGAATAACTGCTTCTTTCTCCACCACTGAGATCACAGTTTTGAGAAAAGCTTGCAGAAAAATTACATAGAAAACTATGGTTGTTAATTGATATATGAAATCAGGAAAGGAATGACAAGTTCTGATTCTCCATCTATTGTCCAGAGATAGATCACAGGAATGGGCTGCCCAGAGAGGCAGTGGAGGCCCCATCCCTGGAAACATTCAAGGTCAGGCTTGATAGGGCTCTGGATGACCTGACCTACGTAGAGAGGTCTCTACTTGTGCAGGGAGGTTGGAACAGATGTCTTCTAGAGGTCCCTTCCAGCCTAAAACATTCTATGATTCTATGATTCTGTCTTGCTCAAGCTTAGTAGTCCTGCCTGGTTTAGCAGGCAATATGCTGGCAGGCATGGCTGGCACTCAGCTAAAAGGAATCAGCACATGCAGCTTTCAGTTAGGAGCCTGCACTATTCCCCATGAACTAAAGAGGCCACCCGATCTGTAGGGTACTCATTTTGGAAGCTGGGTACTCCCTAGAGACCTAATGCATGTTCTGTACAGAAACCTTGCCCCGCAGGGTGGCGTGGACCCTGGTGTCTCTTGAAGCTGGAAGCATTAGAAATCAGACTTTAACTAGACTGAAGCCTAATTTTTAGAAAGCTAGTAATCCTTTAATCAAAGATCTCAATTAGCAGAGAATAGGTTTATAACAATTTGTTTCCATGTTTACTTTTCAACACTGTTTCTATGTGGAAGTTCACTGACAACCAGGGTGTGTGCAGGAGCCGGGCAGCCTTAAGCATGCGATGTTCACCCCTGGTCAGACCAGTGGTCAGAGATGTGCCTGCAGATGGAGCAGTTAGGTTATAAATGTGCATTGTATGTGGCTGCACTGCTGACATTTTACACAGTGCTTGCGCATGTGAGAGCACATGCAACTGATCTACCATACGCGGCATTTGAAGCGTTTGACAATTCTTTCCGCATTTCCATACACAGCTGTGTCTTTGTAGTCTATCCCACACAAAGTTTTTTCTGCAACACAGTTCACAGACCAGTTACGTGCATGAAACCATGTGGCCTCATCAATAGTTTCACCCAGACATGCACTTCAAGCATTTATGCAAAACTACCCATAACTATCATATTCTGTAATCAGACTCATTGAGACATGCATGTTAAAAATTGAAAAACAAGTGTTTACACAGAGCTGCATTAATTTCAGTATTGCCTCATATTTAAATCCAAGACTAAAAGAACACTTAAAATGGTTTTCTCTAAAGTAAGAAAAATCTTTCAGTTGTGTTTCAGAGTATTTGCAGTAAAAATACCTTCCGTGGAACTTTGTATTAATTCAGCTATTTTAGATAACAACAGAAAATGAAGGGCAGTTACAACAGAAAAAAATGGTAAATAAACATTACAGTAAAACACTTAAATACTTAAATATTAATGTAGAATAAAGTGCTGACATACTGCAACTTAAGACTTCTCTCGATGGTAGGTAACTTGAGAAATATTCAGGGCAATAATAAGAGATTGTGGTAGCATTAAAATTTTTCTAAAAAAACCTCAGGAAAATGTAAAATGCATGAATATTCCAAGGAAGGAGGAATGCACTACTAGAATCAGAGGATGCTGCTAGCATTACCTACAAAATACCTTCAGGGAAGAAGCTTTCTTATCAAACCACAATAAGCATGTTTATGGAAACTACAGTCATCTATCATGACACCATCTACCATGATTGTTCACAGAGTCAAGGGAGCTAGAACACTGTGTTCCTTATACTACTTTGATGAAAAAATAAAACATTTCCAGGTTTTCTTATTCAATCACAAGGTGAACAGCAGTTTTCAGAACTGCTGCTGAGAGCAACCATGACTATCAAGGTTGTAAACGGGAAAGACAGATATCAAACATCAGTATAATATTCACTGTGTAAGTCTGACTAATTGCACAAAGTATGAACAGATCACTTCAGATGACATTCATTAACAAACCTCCCTCTGAGGTCTTTTTTTCAGTGTAGTTACCTATCTGAATAATAATCTTCTAAACAGCTGCTTTCAGGTGTTTTGTTACAGCAACATTGTTCATGTTCCAATATTTGCTTTCCTAATTGTATTTTGTTCTTACAAATTCACATTTTTTATGGTTTATAAACATAAACTTAGGAAAAATATCACAACGGCATATTAATATCTGCTGTTGTAATATTTGTTCCATGTGTTTCTGGATCATCCTCAACTCATGTTACTAACTGTACATATTTGATCTGAAATTGAGGTTCAGCTTTTCTGTAGTTTGACATGTCTTTTTACAGATAATTTATCTCTATTAGGTCCAAATATAGAGTGGACTGCAGACGAACTATCTATTCTTGTTCTAGCTCTTGCACTTGTATTTCAACTTGGAAACTGTATCCTGAATTTGCTTTGCTAATCTATATTTTATTCTTTCACTACCATCTTTTTCTGCTTACTTTATTTAGTTTCAATATTTTCCTAGAGTTATTGCTATTCTTGTAATAGAATCAGGAAGCATGAGACTGAATATGTCCACCATTGTATGCAATCACATAAGCTGCAATGAAGATGTTACTATTGAATATGAAACACTGACCATCAGAGCCTTAAATATTAATACAGGAGTTTTAATTGAGATATATAATACACAAAGAGCGCATATACAATATATATGCATATTGTATACACACATATGTATTATGTATATACATGCATATTGTATATACATACACTTTTTAATATATGTGTGTTTGTACTTTTTTCTTTTATTTTACCTCCTCCACATACAGCATCACAGTCCTCCCAGCCAGAATGAGTCCACATGAAAAGAGGCTCTGATACTTTAGAGCTCTGATTCTCAGGAAGAGGATCCAGTGGGATCGTGTACTCATAGTGTAGACCATAGCTCTGGTCATGGAAGAGCAGCACCTGCAAGATACAGAAGGAAAAGCTACCTATGTACACAGTGTAGAAAAAAAACCCTCCAAAATGTGAGGAGAAAATCTTGAAAAGCACAACAGAATGACTTGATGCTCTTTCGCCCTTCAACTCCTGATGGGTTTTTCTGAACACATTAATGAGAGTATCCAAGTCAAGAAAATGGGAAAAATTATTTTGCTTAACCCAAAAAGCTCTCCATGTGAAATAAAGAAAATTTACCAGAAATCTAGAGGATATATCCTGCGATTTCATTGCTTGTAAAGAGAGGAAGTCTTTCCTAGATGCATTGGATTTAAAACTATTTTAGAAACACACATTTCTTATATCTGAAGGATTTTGAATTATTAAGCATTTCCCCTTCATCTCTCCCTCTTTCTTTCCGGTGGCTAT